GGAGTAGAGATCCAAAGCCCATCTGTAGACAATTGGACATTCCTCTCAGAAGGGCCACAGAGACGGGACGAGTCAGCCAGGGTGCAGTATAGCACCGATGAAACACACAATCTTCCTCTAGTTCTTTAATGCTTTCAAACCACCACCACCCACTATCCTGACCCCAGGTCTACCTTACAAATCTGGCTAGACTGGAGAATGTACATCGGTACAGATAAGCGCTCTCAAAACACAGAATCCAGGACATTTAAATCCCTTAGGAACAATAATGGGGGCAGTGATACCATGAGGACAGAGGGAAGGTAGGGGAGAAGGGGAAAAAACGGGGATCTGACCTCAATGATAGATGTATAACCTCTCCCTGAGGGAGACTGACAACAGAAACATGGGTGAAGGGAGACAGCAATCGGTGTAAGATATGAAAATTATAACAATTTATCATTTATCAAGAGGTCACGAGAGTGCAAAGTGGGAAGGGTGGGAAAAAAGAGGAGCTAATACCAAGGGCTCAAATATAAAGTAAATGTTTAGAAAATGATGGCAACATATGTACAAATATGCTTGATAGAATTTGTGGATTGTTATAAGGTCTGTTAGAGCCCCCAATAAAACAGAAATAAAAAATTTAAAAATCCAACAAGTGAAATAAAGAATGAAAGGAATGGAGAAAAAAAGAGAACTCTAAGAGTCTTGAATAAAATGATTGATAAAAAAGTAAACAACCTAAAAAAAGTTATTACTCCCTCTTCATAATGCTAATAGCACTAAAGCTTGTTCATAACTGTAATAGCACCATTGACACCACCTCATTTTAAAAAGATATCTGTCTCCCCCACTAAGGCTATTGTTGAACTGCATTTTACTACCCTACATACCCCAATCCACACTCAACCCATTTCTATCCAGTTGATTCAACATATAGGTCAGATTAGAACTACTTTTTGGGGTTTCCAAGGCTATAAATCTTTACAGAAGCAGCCAGCCTCATCTTTCTCCCTTGGAGCAGCTGGTGAGTTTGAACTGCTGACCTTGTAGCTGACTACTCAATGTGTAACTCACTACACTACGAGGGCTCCTTACATAGAACCTAGAAAATAGATGCTTACTAAGTAGTGGTGAACAAATGGAGGAAATATCTCTACTGCAAATCATAAGAAGGTAAAAGTCTCATCTAAGAAAGTTCAGTATGTTATTCCCAGAAAATATGCTATTGGTGGTTTCTGTAATTATGAATACATAGAAACATGATTTTATGTACAGTGTATAATCTTTGTCTTATCTACATTATTCTTCATACCTATGAAAATACAGATGTCAGAGAAGAGTCTGC